AAGCTGTCATTTACGGTTTGAGCAAGCAATATCAAGTCAAAACAAAAACAAATTATGATACTGATGAGCAACAACTGTGGCCGAGCTACGTAATAATGAAATACAGTAGCAGACAAATAGACAAATCATTTGTTGACAAAAAAATCAAACATTTACTTTTGATTGACATCTGGTTTTAGGTCACCTCACACTGATAACTCGTGGCAAAAATGGTATTTAGAAAAATGAACTGGGGGTCTACTCTTAACTAACTTCAATAAACTGTAAAAGAAAAAAATACAACAAATGTTATTAATTCTTTATTTTCAGTGTAAAGTAAGAAAAAGGTACATAGGCATAACTTGTACACACATCTAAGTTGAATGCATTGCAGATACAACTGTTAAATCACAGTCTCCTAATATGATGTCATTTAAGTAACACAGATTAAAATATTTATTCATTCTGTGACATCACAAGTTCTCAATCTCAGTTTACACTAAAGTGACGTTAATCCAACTTACCTATCGGTACCAAGACATTCTAACTATTGTTATATTAATAATAATAAACTAATGTAATTGTAAGAGTTTTGTATCCATTAGTGAGATGTGATTACTGCACCAAGGTAAATACGTATGCTGCTCTGAATGCTCTTGTTGACATTCGGCTACATGTCGTTGAAGACAAAGCGCGACTTGAAACAAGCCGCACTTTTTTGTCACTGTGTTTAACACTCTGGCTGACCACAAAGAACATTTCTCAATGTGGCATGTCACGTCTGACCAAGACTGTTAGTCATAATTGAAACAACATGTGTCAGTAGAGCAAGTTCTCTGGAAAAAGCTTGAGATGTTAGTTCTAGATATCTGACGATAAGATTTCACTTTCAACTAAGCCACTAAGTTTAAGAGAAGTTTTAATTGATGGCCTTTTTGTCATAGTTGCATAGATCAATTAATTTTAGTTTTATGTCAGTTTGAATGAGTAACTACATTACAACAAATCCAACTAACTCTTGTGATGCTTTGAAATTAAGTGCAGTGCCTCTGCTGTATTGGTGAGGTGCCTCAGAAGACAAAGTAGAATTTCAAAGTTTCCCTCACACATACAATTTTGTGAGAATCTGGTCAGGTTGAAAGCTAGACGTCTATTGTTATGCATCAACTTTTGCCCATTGCTTGCTCATAGTGTGTTGTCTTAATGTTGGGGTTTTTTCTGTATTACTGTAGCGTCCTTATCTTACAATATAAAGTTGCTATTGTGACTTGGTGCTATATAAATAAAATTGAATTTAATCGATGACCATTCACTAGCTGTAAATTCCCCAGACTATTCCCTATGCTACTCTTTTATTGGTTCAAGTGGGCATAACAAGTACGTTGTACCAGGAAACAAGTTGTCTTAATTTCATTATCAACTGATACACAAATGCCAATATTTTTGTCATCCAAGGTTTTGTGGTGTACTTGTAGTGTGAGATCAAATGGCCATGTAGGTAATAGATGCATGTGGGAACCAAAAAAAGGAACCACTGGCTGTAGTCTGACTAGTTTTCTATTAGCTTTTAACTAATATGCAGAAAGGAAGTGTTGAACAGGATATCTGTTGCGTGGATATCATGGTTAGACTGAAAAAACTGGCTTCTAGCTCAGCAGACTTAACTGCCAGAATAACCGTTTAAAGTGAGGTTGCAGGGGGATAGTCAGTCTCAAACTGGGGCCTTCATTTTTGTTAGACGACATCACCACATTTACCATTTTTACATGCATTAGATACAAAAACAATAGAGTTGCACTGGGTAATTTCTTCTGTTTGTCTTTAATTTACTCATATTTGTAATGAATAATATGTAACAGCTTTTTTCTCCCTGACTGCCCGTTTAATCAGAATGACTAAACACGACTAACCAGTTGTAAATCTTTGTAATTTTTAGAGGTATTTTTTTAAGATTGTTTTTGATTGGAATTGAAAACTGGTGAATCAATTAATACGTATGACATTAATCCAGATAAAGTAAAAATGTAAAGTTAAAATGATGTAGATTTTCACTTCTTGAGAGGATTTTCCTATTACTGGTTTATTATTTAATCATTAATAAACATTTTGGAGTTTTTTTTACAACTCAAATAAGCTATTTGACAAAAAAAATGGGGAAAATGATGCACAAAAACCGTTGTTGGACCTTGCAACTGGAAAAAGAAGCTAAGAGCTATGAAATGTAAATGATACATCCTTATGCTTATGTAACACCTTGAACAATCTTGCACCTTTATTTCCACTGCATTTCTTTAATGATAAGGGCATTGTCCCTTATCTCCTCCACTAATCCTCCACTCCTCTATAACGGGGGAGGAAAGGTTTTATAAATTCCTCATGTCAACAACGCTGCTATGTAAGACTTTTAGACGTAAAAACACAAACCAGCACACCACAGGTGGGTTAGGAGGGATTCTCTGGTGGTGGCCAGATGAGGAAATTCTTTTGAATTTTGAATCTACCTGAGGACACTTTTTCCTTTCTGTGTGCGCATTACAGAAGGTACTCCTGATAAGACGCTGAGGGTGATGCACCTCTTAGACCAGTCGGAGCCCCCACCCACCTGTTCCCTTACGCTGACGAAGAGAGAAAACAGACGAGAGGGGTTTTCTCTTTCACTCTCACTTCCTCTCTTCTGGTTGCCGTAGATTGTTGTAAAGATTGTGTGTATGGAGAGAACTTGCGCACTAACACTGACGGGGCAGAAAGACTGAGGTAGCATGAAAATGGACATACTGACTAACCTATGATACAATCTGAAATTCCAAAATGTGTAAGTTGTGAAGTGGAGTAGATGACCATCATTAAATATTCAGTGATATTTCCATAAAAGGTTTCCTACAGCTAAAATATAACTGTGATTAAAGATTGTTGTTTATTATTATTATTATTATGACAACCAATCTATTGTAATAAAAATTGAGCTCATCGACTACATGTCTTTCTCTTTTAAACACAATGACCTCAGAAGCAGATTTTAGTCATTATCTTTTAAAACTGCCCAATGAAAAGTCCCATTTCAGTGAAAGCATAAAGCAGACTTTATTTACATTTGGCATTGACATTCAATTGAACTCAGAGACAATGAGATATAATATGGGATATAATTCAGATTGTCAAAATTTCACATCCATCCGATTCTCATTAAAAACAGTGTGTCAGGAGTCAAAAAAAAGAAAACTCTCTCTTGACCAAATTATTTAGAAAGTTAAAAATACGAAGGAGAATTCATGAGGACAGTGCCACGAAAATCCAATAGCATGGGTGCTTAATTATGCAATATTAATAGAAAGTTGCATGTTGTTTCATGCAGCCAACATGGTGACAATGTTACTTTAATACCAAGTTTGTGACTGTGATGGACAAAACAATGTAGTCAAAATGGCAACAGAGCATGAAATGATACAGAGGCAAAGGTGTGTAAAGCTTTTATTTTTAAACTGCATCCCAGTGATGATGATTGACATGTCTAACATCATGTCAGCGCAACACAAACACAACCATACAAACAATGCAATCAATGATAATTCCTGACAAACAAAGTCAAGCAAAGCTGAGCACGGGCTTTGTCGATCTTTCTGAAGTAGAAGGTTATACAGATGCAACTTCTACAAATAAAAGTGAGAAATATGACTGCTGTTTTCTCTCACTGTGGTGAACCAATGCATCAGATGACTGACATAATGTATGTTTGACATAAGCAAAAATACAAAAATTCCCAATATACAGAAGTTCTTTCGTGCCAGTGCGAGTTAAACTACAGACAATAAACCTGAAAGTGAAAGAAAATAAATAGTAATTTTAACCCTTAATTCGGCATTCATAAACATCTTGTTTAAGTTAACCAGAATCAAGTGTTTATTCGATCACTTTTACAAGCTATTCAGTTTTTACACATGTGACAATAAAAAACTAAATATAAGTAATACGTGGTGTTTCTTATCCTTGGAGAATCTTCATTTTTGATTGCAATTTTCTTACATGTGTATTTTTAGTACAAAAGAAATATGAATTTGAACTAACAAAAACACAAAAGAAAAGACAGGTAATCCAATAGCAATACCTATACTCCTCATAGCTGTTGTAATATTTTTTTTATATATGCATTTTACTATATATACACATATGGATAAAACTGAACTGTTGATCTGTTGCTCACCAAAAGTGGCAGCAACTAAGTTGTTGAGTTATTTGAAGAAAGAACAGACACAATCTTTTCAACCAGTTTTGGATGTGCCTTGAGTGTTACTGATAATAATGAACACCTAGGAACGACCAGATGCCTAACCGCCTCACCTACAAAAATAGTTGATTATCAAATAATTACAATGTAATTACAAGATAATGACAACATTTCTTTAGAAAACCTCTTCCCCCCCCCTGCAGACCATCATTAATCTGTGAGTCTGTAACAGCATGTGTCATCCTTTTGAAATGACGTGACACTGTCAGCCCGCTCCATAATGACACATGCAACTGTTTCAAGACATTTCATAAGCAGACCCTCTTAAGCCGCAGTACGTTTCCTTGATCTTGCAAGTGGACAAAGAAATTTGTAAGAGACAAAAGAGTGAAACAGCAGCATAAAGAACTACTCAGCAAATGTTACTCCAATATTAGCTTACTTCCTTATGCACTATGAAAATACAACATATATATACACACACACACACACATATACATATATGTGTGTGTGTGTGTGTGTGTGTGTGTGTGTGTGTGTGTGTGTGTATATATATATATATATATATATATATATGCATACACACACAGATGTTTTTTTTTTCTTTCATGTCTCTTTGGTAAAACATTAACTCTTACAAAGGGTTTCCTGTTGTTGCCGAAGATATTTGTCCGTGTAGGTGGCCACAATGCAGTGAATGCATTCAGGTTGTCAATACCACACCTACAAAGAATACCTATGACACGGTACAAGCTGTGGCTCCACTGATTCAAAGTGAAAATGGGAAGTGTCGTCGCCGTTCCTCTAGTTTCCGGGTGAGTTGGGTGCACTCAAACGAGTTTACATTCACACACTAGTATCTATAGGCCCCACGCACGCGCGGCTTGACGCCAGTTTCGGATCACGTAGTGGTGACTGCCAGTGGAAAAGAAAATTTCATTACTCACACACTAGTTTCTGCAGTTTTCCAACTCTGTAAAAGTGGTTTTCCTGTGTCCTCAGGGATAAGTATAAAAAGGTAAGCGACACAAGTATCTGCATTTCCAGTAAAACTTGGGTAAAGCGTCTTTTGGTGAATCGGTGCCTGCTGCTGACACTTAACAATATGAAGCTGATCGTTTTTTGCCTTTTCACAATCTACTGTTGCTCTTTGGTCAAAGCATCTACCATGGAGCACAAAAAACTAAAAGAAGTCCTTAGAGAACTGAAAATGCTCAAAAGCAACCTTCCGGTTAGTTCATCTACATCGACTTTTTAACTGCTTTAACTGCATTTGACAACTTGCTTTCTAGCAAACTAACTTTCATTACCTAATGCAATCTTTTTTGACTTCATTTTGCAGAACACAGAACTCATGATGAATACTCCACCAAAGGATATTGAGGTAAGCAAAACTACTTTAATCTAAAATAATGCAGACCTTATGGTCACCACTACGATAAATATTGGTGGTTGCTTACTCATTGTTGTTATGCTCCCACTTACTGTAGTTAGTTTGTCAGGCGCCGGGTACTGTAGGAGTACATCAAATGATGTGTGAAATACCAAAATGTGCAGGGTGATAAGCAGCTGTAAAACTCGAAACTTAAAGGCTAAAGGTCCAGATTTAAATTTAGCATCTGCTCTTTGATCACAATACTTAAAAATAAATGACTGTCAGATTAAGCAGCAGAGGAACTGTCATAAAACGTTTACAAAGTAAAATGTAAGCATTTAAAATTTAATTTAGCAAAACTAAAATCCACATAATTAAGTGTTAGACAGGATTAAAACTACATTATACATTTCTTAGTTTAATTAGAAACAAAAATATGACTATTATACAGAATATTTATTAAAACTTTGCACTATGAAACCATGCATTTTTGTTTTTCTGAGTTGATTTGACTAAGGTGAAATCCTCAAAAAGGCCATATACATTTCAATATTTATAAATAGAAATGACAACATTTACTTTAAAGGCTCTATAGCACATCTTAGCAATGAAACCTAAAAACATTTTGTAAAGTTTTGCAATGCTCTTGTGGTCAAATCCTACATAGTCTCATTATGTACCCTTTATATCACTAGACTTGTAAATGTTTATTAAGATGCACTGCATTACTAGTAAATTCTAATCAGCCTTCTTTCTTGTCAGGCTTATTCATTTTCATTCAGTGAGTCAACTCAAGAGTGTGCTCAGTGCATTTTTTTTCATTTTCTCACAGCTTCCTTTGAGTGAAATGTGATGAGTAATCAAGCAGAGAGCAGACAAAACCATTACACTTCCTCACGCCACCTCTCAAACTGAGCATTTGACAGAATGCTAGAAAACTTTTGAGTCAATATTCTGTTTAACATCTTGCAAATTACAGTTTATCTCACACCGCGAATGATGAGGATTGCCAAGCATCTGATCTTGCTTTGCAAAACAAAGATTATGGTTTCAAAATGAGATCACAACACTAAACTGTAGCAATAATGATAAGATTTAACAATAACTGTAGCAGAATTTCTGATTTTTAAATGCAGCAAAACAAATTGCGGCCGATTCGCTAGGCAGATATAAAATACTCAAAAAAAACTTTGACCCAAGCTGGCTGAGTTCACGGGTGTCACACCACACTGGAAAATGAGTATCTAAACAGAAACAAGTGTTTCACATGGGGAAAAATTGCATTGTACCATCAGCATTCTCATCCAGATTTTTGGAGGGAAACAATTCATACAAAAAAAAAAAAACCCTCTTTCACTTAACAGAAAGTTATCATTGAAATAGTGGAAACTCTGTTTGGTTCAGTTTCATTTTATATAAAAATGTTTTTTGTGTGCATCAGATTGGAAAGTCAACTACAATGAAGTCATGAAATGAAACTACAAACAATAGCTTTCTTGGAACAATATTTTTCCTTACATTGAAACAAAGAAAACTCTCATTTTCATAGCCAACTGTAAATGAAGTAGAACTGTGCATGCATCAAGCTGTTGTGTTCCCTTTGTATGGTGCTGCGTGTGATACATCTCATTTAAAAAAGCAAATGTATTTAAAAAGACCAACCGGAACCCTGACATATATATTATATGTGTGTGTGTGTGTAAGATGGGATAATCATGATGTCATATTCACTATCATTTCTTTTTCTTTTCGTAACAGGACTGCTGTTGTCTGACAGCCTTAACTTGCTTTCGGGAGACTCTGCTTGAACATTTTGGCATAAGTGGAAAATATCAGAAAAAACTTTACAAGAGTCTTAATCATACCCTTACTGTAAGTACATTGTTTGGGGTGGGACTCACATAATAAACCATATACCTTAAGTCCTATTCTAAAGACTAATGTCAACATTTTAGTACACTGCATTTCTAAAACTGGCATATTTCTTTCAATCATTGCAGATCAGTGGACTGAACTTTTGTAACACAGAAACTTCTACGGTAAGTAAAAATTAGTCAGCATTGCTTTTCTCTCTCGATTGTGACTATTGTTTTTTGGTCTGTACACTCTTGTAGTAAATGACCATTTAAGTAAACTCCTTTCTTCTTTGTTTCTTTTTAGACCAACTGCTCAACCTGCCACTCACATCCTAAGGAAAATGCATCAGAGTTTTTCAACAGACTGGAGTCTCTGGTTCAAAGGGTAAGGCTATTTCAGATATATTTCAGAAAGCTATACATAAAATACTAGACCATTTTGTTTTTATGGTAAGCTTAAAATAAAAAAAAAAAGGCTATGCTCTTTAATATGATCATAAATGTATTGATGCTAGCTTGTACAGCAAATTAAGTATTTATTTTCATCCATTTTTAGGGTCTAAGCAGAATGAGATGAACTGAAGATCCATTAGCAACTTTAGAGAAGACACTACTTTGTAAAGGGCCAAGCACGTCGAAGATTGCGTCTTACAGCCTGATAAATATTTAACTTATTTATTATTTATTTATATTGAAGTGGTTAACTCACTCAAGCTCTCAGGAAAGCTGCTCTGCTGCCACCTAGTGGACTTCATACCCTCAGTCAGTGAGAGGGAAAATTAATTTATTCATTCATTTTGTAGTTCTCAAAGAATAGTTTAATAATGACATTTATACTGTGTATGAATTTCCTTAGTACATAAATTATTTTGTAAAACAACTGTACCATCTGAAAATATCAAATTAATTACCATATATTATTTGATGTGCCTAGTTTATATGAAGGACAGATTCTCTGCTTGTAGCAGGAACTGAAAGACAAGTGTTCTATTTTTTTTAATTTTTTTAGCAAATGGGCATTTTTTTCATTCTGGCAGTGGTCCATTGTATAGTTAACATGTCGTAACTTTCTCTTGTCAACTTCATATAAATGGCAGGTTGATATTAATAAAGATAGTGTCTAACTGTGCTATCAAACTGTATTTATGATATAGTTTATATGTTTAGATATTTATTGTTTAAATGTTTGATACCAATTACAAGTTTTTAGTATTACCTTTTGCTGGACTATACTGAGAAAAATAAATATAAATGAATTTCACAGAAAGTGAAGAGAAATTGTGTTGATGTTATTCATGTTTTTTGGTTGTTTTTTGTGCTCGTACGACGGGATGTGAATGGGTTAACGAGGCATGTTGTTCAAAGTGCTTTGAGTGCTCAAGTAGAGTAGAAAATCACAAATAAAAGAACCAGTCCGTTTACTATGTTTTGACCTGACATGGTTCTGGAGGCAATTCCTGAAATGTAAAGATACATTTTCCAGGAGCTTAAGTTTAAGCTTGCATTTGCATTCAGAAGCTGTAAAACGACAACATGTGATCAAACAAGCTTTGACACACTTGCAGCTATATCCAAAAAGACAGCTGGAACACTAGGAGTGGCTAAATCAATATATCTCTGAAGAAGAGAGAATTGGTAAAATGAATAGGTTGTCCTGGATGTTCATGGAAGACAACAGTGATGGATGATCACAAAATCTTTCCATGGTAAAGAACGACACCTTCTGGACAAGACTGTGTACAAGAGAGCAGAGGCTTGCACAGGCTTCCTCAAGGTTCAAGCCATACTAGTTTCATAAAACTCTGAGCAATACTCTAGGAGTGGAAGCAAATCTTGTGAAAATGAAAAAGTGCCCATGACAACACAAGAACCATGGCTCTGAGACCCATTAGGTGACCACTGAGCACCTTTGGTCAGACGAGCTGAACAGAAAAAGCTAAAAATAAAAGGTTTGTAGACATGAAACTAAGATCAGCAGGAAGATAAAAGAGTAGTGCTCATGATCCAAATTACATTACGTAACCTGTAAAGCACAATGAAGGTAATGCCATGCATAGCTTCTAGTGGCACAGTGTGACTAATGTTTTCTAAGGAGCTTGGAAAGAAACTGGACTTCTTTAAGTTGCTTGAAGACGTTTCACCTCTCATCCGAGAAGCTTCTTCAGTTTTAAGGTCACGTGGTGGAGATTCCCAGATTTAAACCCAGTGGGAGTTTCCCCCCAAAAGAGGGACAAAGGACCCCCTGATGATCCTGTACCTATCACATGAGCCAAGGTGTGAAAACGGGTGTGGGTCACAATCAGCCAAGGTTTCGGTTGAGCTCATTGTGAAACCTAGCCCCACCCTATCTTGTGATTTCCTTAAGGTCAAATGGCAGAGGATTGAGTGGGCATTAAGGTGTCTGGGAAGGGATCTCAAAACTGGATTATAGATGTGACTAATGTTTGCTGAAGATACAGTTAGGGCCATATCTATTTGGACACTGACACAAGTTTAGTTATTTTTACCTGTTTACTGAAACATATTCCAATTATAGTTACATAATGGACATGGACATACTCTGTAGACTCAGCTTTTGTTTCAGGGTATCCACATTCAAATTGGATAAAGGGTTTAGGAGTTCCAGATCCTTAATATGTGCCATCCCCTTTTTAAAATGTCCAAAAATAAATGTAGAGTTGATGCAAAGGCTATTTTATGGGCAGGTGGGGGCAATTCTTTCGTTATGTCATTATTAATTAAGCAGATATAAAGCCTGGAGTTGATTTGAGGCGTGGTGCTTGTATTTGGAAGATTTTGCTGTAAACAGACAACATGTGGTCAAAGGAGCTCTCTGTGCAGGTGAAACAAGTCATCCTTAAGCTGCGAAAACAGAAAAAAAGCCATCTGAGAAATTGCTACAATACTGGGAGTGGCAAAATCTACCGTTTGGTAAATTCTGAGAAAGAAAGAAAGCAAGCATCGGTGAACTCACCAACGGAGAAAGACCTGAAAGTCTATGGAAGACAACAGTGGTGGATGATCACAGAATAATTTCCATGGTGAGGAGAAACCCCTTCACAACAGCCAACCAAGCAAACAACCCTCTCCAGGAGGTATGAGTATCGATATCCTCATAAAGAGAAGGCTACATTCAATTAATTCAATTCAATTCAATTCAATT